GGTACAATTAAATCAAAGTATATTTATAACATTTAATTTGAATTAATAATTTGCTATTATATACAATTTTCCCTTAAAAAGTTTGTGGCTAATTTGCTGGACCCGTTATGTGTTTAGCCTTTACGTTTTTCAACATAATGAAACGAATCGATATCGTCAATTATTTTTACCATTCTAAACAACTATAGGAGAAAAATATACTAGAGGGGATCCTTTCCTCAATTTTATAATTTAATTATGATATGGCAATCAGGTAATTATAATTCAAAATCTGTTCTAATATATTGGTAATAGAAATGAATATCTCAATGATAATGTGTGGATTTGCTAACTAGTACTCCTTACTATAGGAAGTACAAATGGTTTAACAATTTTTTGTTAATTTATCAGATGATTATTATACTCTTTTTAATGATAGCATATTAAGTAATTATGTTAATCAAAGTTTTTTAATAGATTGAAATAATTGAATTCTTTTAAGTCCTATCTCCATTGACAATTGAGAGAAAATCTATTTGGTATGACCTATAGAAATAGGAATAACACTTTTAATATTTATTTTTTTACTTTCACTTGATAGTCAAAATTATTTTATTTAAATAACTATTTTAAGTTTTAAAATATCATAGTATATTACCCTATCAAATATTATTATATATTCCAAATTCATACAGTTTAAGGGTGTATTGGTGTATTGTGAATGGAGCTTCTGTGAATGGTATAGTTATAACTTATAACTTATATATGATTTAGATTTCCAAAGAGTCCCAAGAAATTGTAATGATGAATTTCTTTTTAGAAACAATATTAAGATTATTAAGAAATGTAAAATTTAACTAACAGAAAGAAAGAAATATAAACTACTTATTTTTTAACAAAAATATTTTAGAACTTTAATTGAAACTACTCAAATCATCAAATTAATAAATATAGTTTTTACATTAAGATCCAAGACAATGTATTGAAAACACATAATTAATGTTTTATAACTTGAAATAATTCTTATTATTATTATAAATAATCGATACTATATTAAAATATGAAGCTCCTCATAAATGTTAATTGAACTTTTTGCAATACTCAAATATAAAAAGTACACAACTCTTGAAGCATCACACTATTTGTGGCAAAATTATCAATTTGTTAATCTCTTGATAAATGATTTCCAGTTTTCTTTCATCCTAATTTCTAGGTTAATTTCTTAATTAATTGTTACGAAACAATTGTTTTGTGCCTTGTGTTGAAAAGTTAAATGAAATGAAGGTGTTATGAATTGGTTACTTATTAAATAAACGGCGACAATTAAAATATAACGAGTGAACTCCCAAATTAGTTTCTTTAAGGCCAACACTGCAGATTGATTGAACAAATTAGCCTATAACTGAATTAGTGAAGCTATGGTGTGAACGAACTGTGGTACAATCACTCCCTTCATGTTTCTTCTCTAGACTCTATTTTTCTTGTTCTTCTCTCTTCTCTACCTAATTTCTCTTTTTCCGTTTCTTACAGATTCTGCTGATGGGACTTCATATCTTAATTTAGACTTATTTGTATTATTTTCTAATTGTTATTCTGTACACCGTTGTGATTTGTGGTTATTAATAAATATAGGAAATTATCCCAAATTAATTGTGAGCAGTTCATTACAAAAGGCAATTATCAAGAAAATGTGTGATTATGAGATTTCATTTGATTGTAATATATTTTGGAAGCCAAATCAATTTGGATATGTTAGTGGGAATACAATATTACTTTGCTTTAGTTATGCATTATGCCAAATATAGTTGTGATTTCTTGAACTTGATAATTTTACTATTTTAACTATAAAAAGTTGGCAGTTACTTAATTAAGATAAGGATTAGTTTAATAGGTATGATTTTTACCAAATATAATTTTAGTGTAACAGAATTTGAATTTGTCAGGGGCAATAATCAAAAAATTGTTATAACAAAGTAGTAATAGTAATATTGAATATCTCATATTCTCATTGATATTAGAAATTCCTCCATCCATTCACTTCGCTTTGAGTTTTTTTCTAATCTTCTTCTAGTTAATTATGATGACATGAAATTGGCAAAATAAATCAATGAAGCTTAATAATAAGGGTGGAAGGCAATTTTAGTTATCTCTCGTCAAATAATTACAAATAAGCAGATATACCACGGAAGTCAATCCCTCACAAAGCAAGAAACAATGAATATATTGGGTGATGATTTGAATCTGAGTTTGCCAAATGATCGTATATTTGTATGTCAAGTAAATACATTGTTATGAACCAAGTTCAGCCTAATGTGGATACCAGGTCACGCAAGTAGTTATTGGGCTGATAAGAGCTATTGGGCAGAGAACGAGCAATAGGGCCAGGTTAATTTGGGATCAGAATTGAGTAGTGGGCATGAAACGGTTCCATCAAAAAGAGTAGTGATATGTGATTTAGGGAGGATGCAAATTGTTGAGAAAAATGTCTAGTCCTCTCATCCCCTTTCTCTGAGTTCTGCTTCTCATCCTTTTCTTCTACTCGTGTTCTTCAATTTCCCTTTTAGTTCTTAATTCCTTTGTAATTCCAATTACGAATTAGTGAAATATATCTATAGGTTATTTTGAGTTTGAATTGTGTTGGTCTAGTTATTGGGTTTGTTACAGACATATTTGTTAGGGTTTTGCCATGATTTTCTTACCTTATTTGAAGTTTATTTTTCTTTAAAGAAAAGACAAAACATTACCATAAATGTTTTTACTTTTCCTGAAAGGAAAATATAATATTCTTTCATATTTGGTTTATTCTTTCCTTTTAGGAAAAAGTTTTAGAGTAGCTAGTCCTGTTTTAGGACTCTATAAATATATGTTTGTTTCTTCTAACACAATAACAATAACATCCACAATGTAGTCGTTTAAGAGTCTTATTTATGGGGAGATTTATTCTCTCTAAAGTTTCAATGTTTTTCTTTATATTAGTTTTGATATAATAATATTTTGATTTTTAGTATAAGTTTTTGTTATCTGATTTATTAACCATATGATTTGCAAATTATAAGCTTCCGCATGACGCCCTAATCATCCTTCATAACCCAACAAGTTTTTTTAAAATAAAAATAAAAATGAAGAAACATAATTTTATTCATCAAGATCATCGCGAGTACTTATGATGGATGGGCTTGCCATGGCTAGGAGTTTAGAACAAATTGTATCATAAATTTGGAACAAATTCCGGCCAATCAGCAGGAGTTTATGATGGGTGGACTTGCTACGAGTGTTGTCATATCTTTTCGACTTCACTACAAATCATGTAATGTAGGAACAAATTTTTCACAATTTTTGGGGAAATGGAAGGAGGAAGAGAAGAGAGGAGCACAAGTTCTAGCTGATGTCAATTAAACTTTTTCAGCATGTTCAAAAAGTTCAACATGCCTTTAAGAAAATACTTTGAAAATGTACCTAGCATTTGCAAGTAAATTACAAATAACTAATTCTCTATTAAAGCAAGTGTGAAAGAACTTTTTTGCTCTTTGCTTTCCTTCTACTTGGTTTTACTTATTCATTTGATACTTCTGCTATTATATATTGTTGCATCTCCATATTCTATTAATATATGTTTTGTAGTTCTACTTTCAATTTGATATGCCCTGATTTTGCTAAACATGAAATTGACACCGTCTTGGCTATGTTTAGCGTGACAATATTTAGAACTTGTTAGTGAAAAACTTACAAGATAACAAAAAATACAAGATTACAAAAAATAAAATGAAGAAACAAACTCTGGACAAGAGTTGAGTCCATAGCTCCACAAAAGAAACACCTCCCTTCAACTAATAAGAACTCTCTTTTTGACAAACCTTATGCACTCTATATTTCTTGTTGTATTGTGTGTCTCAAACCAAATGAAGACCACCACTATTTATACTAGAAGAAGTCTTCCTAGCAATGAATAGGAAGATAATGGTGTGGTAAATAGTGAAGATAAATGGCCTAGGAGTTACATAGGTTACAAGGTATAATGGAGGAATAAAGAATGGGATTTCAATATGGAGGAGTAATGGTCATAGTTGACCACTACTAGTTCTGCCAGAATAATACAACGGCAATAACAATATTGTAACCATCACATAATGGCCAATAATGTCTATGCAAATTGATTAACAGAAATGAGTAATTAGGCACTAATGCCTAACGTTCCAGCAATGATAATTGTCCACTAACTGCTGAAACATTTATCATTCTTTCTAACTCCAAAAAAATGCAAATTAATATATTAAAATATTAATATTAAAATGCTAACAAACCAATAATCCCCCACTCATTTTAAGAAGACTATTATGCATAATGAAGGTGTGCTCTGCATTGAACCTCCACTTAGTGAAACAGTAACT